ATGACTGCTAAGGTGGAGGAGGTAATTTGGAATTCTGCATAGTTATACTATCACACATAGTGATAAAAAATTTTTTCCACCACATTTTCGTATTTGAATTACTGTAGAATCATTGCTTATTAGTGTACCATGATGTCATTTGGCCACAGCTTGATCTAGATGTATCATTTACATTTTTAACTTTCTTCTCTGCTTTCTCAATAACTGAGACACCTCCATGGAACTACATTATTTATGGGTTGTTAAAGTCTCCATCTAATAATAAAACATTAAAATCTCATTCTATGGAAATTTTTCAATTGTGAATTAACAATGTAAAATAGAAGTTTTGATTTCATAACAGGTAAACTAATTTAACATTTTGACATTAGAACTCTCTAATGTAATGGTAGTCATATATGCTTACTAGTACCTTACAAGTTAAATTAGCAGTTAACTGCCAAGAATTATTTAAACTTCATTTATTAGTTTTATTGTTAGAAATTTTGGCATTGTTATTTTGAATCTTTATTAGATATATTGAAAGACAAACACATCATTGTGTTAATGTGTTACTAGAACCAAAATTTTTATGTAAGAGAAGATGAATATAAAATTTTAAAAAAGTAGAGTTGAAACTCTGTAATGATAAATTAGAATTGAAATATCAGTATAAACTAATGACTTTTTAAAACTTATTTGCTACCTTTGATCACTGAAAGGTCTGGAAGCAGTGACATGTCAGTAGCAGTGAGTATGCCTGGTACCCAAACCTCACTAAAAAGCACTAGGGCTCCCTGGAGAAATGACTCATTCCAGATCTGGGACAGAGTAAATCCAAAGTGAGGCTGGGACATTTTCTTGAACTAGAAAGCAATAAAAATTCAAAGATTAATGGAATTGTATCAAAAGGATGCAAGAAGTATCTTTAAAGGACTTCCACTGTCCAAATCTGGGAACATTTGCACAATTATTACAGATACCTCTTATATATCATTGCATATCCCTAGGATTCGCTTTTCTCATTTCAGCTGTGTGCAAACTCTTGTGTATGTATAATAACTACACACTGCCTCATTTCCTCGTGTTCTATAAGCAGCTTGCTTTTTGCAGTGTCCATAGGGAAGACCCACACATGTGCAACCTGGAAGTACAGAGGAGTTAAACTCAAGTGTTAGGGGAATTAATGACCCTTTGGGAAAGCCTTTGATCAATGGAAAATGAAGCCAGTGAGTAAATTTTTCTCCTCCCTTTTCTCCTCCCACCTTAGTGGTAGTCCTGAAATGCAGCTTAAATGGCTTCTAAGAGGTTCAATCTGACAGATTAAACAGGTGGCCAGCTTGGTAATGCATTGTCATATTGGCTCTCCCTCCTTTGCTTTATTCCCCTTGTCCCTCACTCCTGCTCATTGTAATTGGATTACTTTTAAAAATAATATTCCATAAGGCTTTTGCTTCAGATCCAACTTTCTTGGGGAACCCAAGCTAGAAGGATGGCATCAAAAAGAATAATGCCTGTAATTTATTGAAACATGGAATATATAAAGATTTATGAACCATTTTGAATGATATTCAAAAGAAGAGAAAGACTTACCAAAAATAATCTTTTATTTGCCACCATTGGAAGAGAATGTTACCAGCTGTTACTCTCAAAATTGGTAATTAAAGGAAGCCATTATCATTCTTTTTCAATTAGAAGTCTAGTTGAGGAGAAGCTCTTCTCTACAAAACAAGTCAGCCAATATAGCAGAAAGAAGAACAGAATTTTTTAAATGGCCAGTTTTTAACCCCTGATGAAATGATTGATTTAGGCAAGGATCATCAGTGAAGACTAAAATTCTTGGAGGAAGCATTGGTGGAAAACTGCATATTTGCATGTTACAAATGATCACTCTATCATGAAATAAATGATCACTAGCTAGTCAAAAGGAAAACAAGTCTTTTCAATAAATAAATTTGCTATTATTACCTTAACTCATAGTAGTAGCTTATGTATTATTTATTATTTTAAAGGCTTATTGTATTTTCCTGGTTTTTTGCATGCCTAGTAATTTTTGACTGGATGCCAGACATTATGAATTTTATGCTGTGTGCTAGATTTCTAAAAATGCCTTTAGATATTTTTGAATTCTACTCTAGGAGGCAGTTAATTTATTTGGAAAGAATTTTATCCTTTCTGGACTTAACTTGTAAGGTCTATAAGGAAGGACCAGAACAACTTTTAATCTAGGGCTAATTTGGTCCCACTGCCAAGGCAATATCTTTCAGAGTATTCAACCCAATTTCCCATGTATTATGAGATTTCTTCACTCTGGCTGTTGGGAACAAGAACTGTTTCCAGTCCTGTGTGAATACTGAGAATTCTTCAGCCTGATTCTTTCCATTGGTTCTTTTCCTGTCTTCGGAGTTTTCTCACAGATGTGCTAATCAGTTCTCAGATGAAGATTTGAAGAGAATCCTCTGCCGATCTCTGGGACTCTTTGCAACTCTCCCCTCTGGTATTCCGCCCTGTGAATTTCAGTCACATTGACCTTCTTGAATTCTCAACCTTGTCTCTTTAACTCAGGAAGACTACTACGCTCTGTTTGGGCTCCCCTTCCTGCTCTGCAGCCTGGGGCAATAATCACCTTTTTTCCCTTTTCTCAGGTATTACTGGGCTGAGCTGCCTGGTGTCCAGTGTCTAAAAACCATTGTTTTATATATTTTGCCCAGTTTTTAAGTTATGTAAGGCAGAAGAGTAAATTCAGTCCCTATTACTTCATCATATCCTGAAACAGACTACAGTCCACTATAATTGTACTTCTTAATTTCTCTTTTCAAATAATTTTTAGAAGAATGTACTTTTAAATTTTCAAGTATTAATAGGGTTGGTTAAAGCATATTTGCTTATATGTTAAATATTTTAAAAATAATTTAGTTTTCTCATCTTGCTTTCAGAGGATGAAGCTTGTACCATTCCCCTTTGGAAATTTATTGATTTTTTTTGTGTGGGTTAATATATGGTCACTTTTTGTGATTTATTTGCATGCATTTTAAAAAGTGGTGTTTGGTAGAAATCAAATATAAACACATACAATCATGTTCGTCAGTCTTAGTGTATATTTTGAATACCTTGTCTTTATTTTGTGCCTTAGAATCATAGATTGATAATAACGTCTCCCAGTGTTAAAGTGACTTAAAAAAATTAACCTCGTGGTTATTCTAAGCACCATCCTTACTAATTCTGAATTTCTTCAGGTATACCAGAACACTTTGAATGTAATCTTGGACTCAGGAAGATACAAGGCACTTACTACTAATCACCCCCTGGTGATTTAAGATAATATCTGTTTAATATCTTTTTAAGTAGGAAATAAAACTCTAAGTTTTACAGAACTACAAATTAAAGGAATAATTGGCAGACTAATTTCTAGTCTTCTTTGGTGCCTGTTTCTTAGGTGTTAAGAACCAAATTACCTTATAATATATTTAAGTTTTAAAAATCTACTTTAGGGGCACCTGGGTGGCTTAGTCAGTTAAGCACCTGACTCATGATTTAGGCTCAGGTCATGATCTCAGATTGTGAGATGGCCCCTCATCTGGCTCCCAGCTCTGGGCTCCGGCGCGGTGTGGAGTCTGCTTGAGATTCCAGTTGAGATTCCCTCTGCCCCTCTCCCCCTACCTCATGATCTCTCTCTCTCTCTCTCTCTCTCTCTCAGTAAATAAATAAAATCTTTAAAAATAAATAAATAAAACTCACTTTAAATGAACCACCTTAAGAAGTACATATTTTTAAATAAATATATGTGTATATTAGGGAATATATATTAAACACATGATATATAGATTAAGAAATAAAGCCAAGCTTTATTTATTTGCTTGTTTTTCTTAAGGGTAATAACCAATTATTTATAGATTTTTGCCTTGCACATTATTTAAGCTCATATTCTTAGGGATGCTTTAGTTCTGCAGAGAATAAGATTAAAACATAATAGGTCTACTAACTTCTGTCAGTTCTGTAATTGAGAGATCTGTCATCAGAGAGTCTGAGAATTTTGATTGGAAACAGATAGTGGGAGACTGAGAACCTGAAAGTCTTTGGGGCTATGGGACTGGAACAGAAAACTCTAAAGCAGGCTCTGACCAGGATTCTCACAGGGTCAGCGTGTATTCCAAGCTGAGTTACATTGCCTCCTAATTCCAGAAAATTCTACAAATGCCATCTAAGCCTGTCATCACCAACCATCCCACTCAGTTTTCTACCTAATTCCTCATTCTCAAATTTTTCAGAGATCCATAATTTTAAGGTATTTTACTTTATAATTAATTATACATGTGTAATAATGAAAAAAGTTTTTTTAATACTCCTAAGCCTTTTAAATTCTCACTGAAGAGATATTATGCATCCTGACCAATGTTTGTGTGTGTGTATGTGGAGGGAGGAGGACTTCTAAACAAAGTAATCATATTTGGTTTGCACATAAATAGTATAAGCTGCTCTACTTGATATTTTTGGTGTCAGTATTTTTCTATGTTCTTTGTAATTTTCCCTTTTATAACTGCAAATGTTGGATCTAAGTGTCAAAATACGCCATATTTTAAAATACATTAAACTTTCACACACTTAAGTTATAAATACTTTAATTTTAAAATCTTGCTTTTTGAAATCTGAAGATTAAATTCATGGTACTTGAGTATTTCCTTGCTACACTTTTATTATGATTGGGAATCAGCATCTTCCCTAAGAAACTAACATATTAGCAAATGAAGCCATTATTATCACTATCAACACACCTTTGTTAGAAACTTTTATTTACATTTTAAAAAAGCATTGTCAGGCCATTTTAATCTGTGGACAAAACTCCATACATGAGCAACTATAGGACTGAGAGGGGAAAATGCGGTGAGAAAAATATTTTGTTTATCCCTAGATGTTTTTGGGGGGAGGGAGCAAGATTTCCAATTTGCCTCAGTGTAATTGCTTTACACACATTCTTGTGACGCACAATTGGGAGGGAGGAAGAAAAAGAGGGAGCTATTACTGTGTGGTATGTATCTGAAAGAGTGCATTTAAGAGGGAGAGGAGAAAGCAGAAGCAAGCTGGTCTGACCAGAAACAGAACTGCCTGTGACAGATTAAGAGACAAGCAAGGCTTGGAATCTGAGAGCAAGCAAAGAGAGTGGAAATTTACAGCTGCCCTGTGCGAGTGTTCAAGTGATCATTTTCTGCTAACGTTTTCCGGTGGTAACTGTTACTCTTCAAAGAGAGAGAGAAAGTCAAGACGGGATTGTGGAAACTCCTCTCTGCAGCACTTTTGGTAACAGGAGGCACCCTCTGTTAAATGGAAGATAAAGCTACTTCATGTAAAGTGCTTTGAGCCCAAGAGAGAGCTGTCTTCAGCACCTTACCATGTGTCTACTTTTTGTTGCTTAAACAAGCCTGGACATTTCTATGACATTCGGTGAGTATCAGCCAGGTTATCTATCCCAGTTCATAGAAATGGAATTAATATGGTAAACTTCAGTTTTCATTGAGGTTTTATAGTTATTGCTTATATATTCATTTTAAATCATGTTGTTACCTCGTTTCTTTGTGCATGATGAACTGCTGTTACTAGGAGAGGTTTAAAAAAACAACAACTACAAAACAATACTTCTCTGTTGCCTAAGGCACTTGAACCATTACCAACTATTCTGTGTCCATGGAATATCTTATTTTGGAAATGGGTTTTTATTTACAAAGAGTTTCCAAAAATAAAATAGTGGCAGTATACTATTTTTCGTGTTTCCTTTTCAACTGCATGAAAATTCAAAAGTTACCTCTTTCTGTCTATTGTCAGATTTAAAATTATCGTTGTGACGTTTGGTATTCTCAATTATTATAAGTTACACCATTCTCTCATAATTCAAATAGAAGTGTTAATGATACCATTAATTAAAAGGACATATGATTTAAACATTGAATGCTTCTGTTAGATCCAATAAGTGACACATGATTTTTTCAAAGTTCTGTAATGAATATAAAAATTAGATAATTTACATATCAAATTTACCATTTGATACAAAATGAATGTACATGGGTTTCAAATTAAGGATTCAAACAGTTATTTTGTTGTTATAGCTGATACCAGGCTCTCATATAACCTTGTTTTTCGGCTAAAGAACTGTTATAGCCAGATGCATATATGTATGCAAGCAATACAGCAGAGAAAAGAAAAATAAACTTGTAAAATATGTATTCACATTCCAAGAGAAACTTTATTTGTATAGTATTAACATAGGACATTGTATACTAATTTTTTATGTCTTTTTAAAAAAAGGCATCAGTGGAAGACACGTAATCATTCCTCTGTGGGAGGAGGGAAATATGTATTGTTAGCTGCTAAACTGAGTCACTGCATAGAGATGTACCATTCTAAGCAAAGTTTCTAATTTACTCTCTGCCAGCATCAAAAAATACGTCCTTAGTTAGTGATTCAAGTGAATCCTTTAAGGCAGAACAACTTAACTGAAATGAAAACTTCAAGAGAGGTCAGTAAAAAGGGTTTTACACTGGACATAATCTATAAAATGGCTGTATTTCCTCTATGTATACAGAAGCCTGTAGAACAGGTTTTGTTTTGTGGGTTTTTTTTTTTTAAATGCCTTTCACCTATGTATGAGAAGAAACTCAGCTGGTCTTGGGAAACCTTTTCCAGACCAATATCTTGCACTTAAAATCAAAAGTAAATAAAATAAAGATAATATCACAAACCAACTTTTCTTCTTTGCAGAAGTTCCCATACTCGGTCTTAGACCAATGGAAGATTTGCACATAGCTTCACAATTGTCTGAATAATTTTTTTATTTTAAACTATTAAGTCATTGGTATTACCTTAGTGGTGGCATCATTTCTTAAGCCCATAGGAATGTAAATATGACGGTAAAGAATAAGTCATTCCCAGTTTACAAATGTTTTGTACTTCAGAAGTTTATTGTGAGTGGGTTGTTTGGAATTTGGGACCCATCTTCCCTGGAAAATAATTTAACAAATGATTGTTTGACTTTTATTATAGCCAAAGAATTATTTAAGTCACACTATAGAAAAACCATTCCCACCCTGAAAAATAGTAGGAAATCAATTCTAGTAACGAAACCAAATGTAAAAACAATTATGTTGAATAAAACATTTTTATTTATCCTAGATATTAATGCTTGAAGAAAAGCAGATTTATGAGATGGATGGGTTTTTGGAAGGATGCTTATAAACAGGATTTCTAGGTACTTTAAAGAGCTTCCAAGGTTGATTGCACACCCTGTATGAGATCTAATCTCATGTTACAATTCGCGATTTTTATTTTCCTTGCTCTAGGCTTATTTCTAGCCATTGCTTTTATGTTTATCACCCATTTCTGAAGTCTTTGATTACAGTACTAGTTTTTGCAAACACTGACCTAGCTTCAGACCTCTGCTATAAATTGAGATTGTGAAATTCTAATCTAGAATTATCACTCATTGACAATCACTAATAGTTAGTAGATGTAGAAAATTTTAGCAGTATACTGTAAGCTGTCAGCAGAATCACTATGAACCTAATGAATGAAGTTACTGGTGATTTCTCCTGGAATAGTAGTCTAGTATTATTTATAATTATATAATTATTTATGTCTAGTATTATTTATAACAACAAATAAATTAGCAGTTGTATGTCTTCCTAACTTCATGTACTAATTCTATTTTTAAATTATTTCACTAGTTATAATACATTAGAATTCAGGAGTAGTTCCCAAGGACATGGGTTTCTCTTCTTATAAAAGAGTTTTTATTCCAATGTAAGTCTGACTGAGGCTTCCAGATGAATGAGGATGCATTAAAACTTCTCATGAGTTTTCTATTTCTATGTAAATTGTCCATTTTTAGTAAAGATCTCTTTCACACTATATTAATAAAACTTATAAAAACAAAATCATTCTTAGTCATTTTGAACTAAGAAAAAGAATGATCAGTGGAAGTCCTTATTTATACTTTATTGTCTACAGATTTTCACTCATTCCTATAGGTTTTCTAGTGAAATATTTAATTATGGTGCCTTCTAATTACATTTAGCATATGTATTTAAAAACAGAACATTGAGATGCCTGGGTGGCTCAGTTGTTAAATGGCTGCCTTCAGCTCAGGTCATGGTCGCAGGGTCCTGGAATCGAGCCCCATATCTGGCTCCCTACTCAGTGGTGAGTCTGCTTCTCTCTCTGCTGCTCTCTCGCTCGCACTCTCTCTCAAATAAATGAATAAAATCTTTAAAAAAAATAGAATCATTAAAGGATAGAAGACATTGATTGGATGATACTTTGACATACATGCTCTATAATGGCTTTGGTGTCATAACATGTATAACTGGAATGATGTGCTTTGTAATTTATTATCTCTGTGAAGGCATTTCTAAATTATGACATTGTCAGTGGGGGGAGAGGTGACTACTTGGATATCACAAATACAGTAGAACCTGTAGGTATACTTTTTCAGTTTTAAAATATACCTTAAATCAAATCCACCCGTTTAAAGAGAATAGTTTAATGAATATTGACAAATGTATACACTAATGTAACCTGCATTTCATTAGTTTTTTAAAAATGAATCTTACAGGCCCAGTTATTTGCCACAGATGCACTTTGATTATATCATTTCTGTGAGTTCTATTTGGAATGCAGATAAAAGAATGGTGGTTCCTGAACTTTTGTGATTTTTTTTAATGTAGTGCTAAGTTTATTTTAATTTTTTTAGTTTAAGAGAATGTACTTATGGCTTAAGTTTAAATTAGCAAGCTCTAAGAAAATTTTGGAAATGTTCCTCTCTCATTGTTGATTGTAAAATAAACTTATGTGGAAGGAAAGAAGGCTCATCTTTGAGTTGGCTTTGTTACAGTGAGTTAGAAGTTTGGTTACTTTTTTTTTTTTTAAGATTTTATTTATTTCTTTGACAGAGAGACACAGCGAGAGAGGGAACACAAGCAGGGAGAGTGGGGGAGGGAGAAGCAGGCTTCCTGCCAAGCAGGGAGCCTGATGCAGGGCTTGATCCCAGGACCCTGGGATCATGACCTGAGCTGAAGGCAGATGCTTAACTACTGAGCCAACCAGGCACCCCTAGTTTGGTTACTTTTTATAGTTTTACCTATGGAAATCTTGATATTTTTCTTGGCTTCAGAGATAAATTGCTCACTCTCTTAAACTTCTGTGGGAAACCTTTGAAATTAGAACTGTTTTTGAACAGTACAATTGGAGGTTAAACATAAAGGCCTGGAAATACTCATTAGCCATTTAGAGATAGACATTTATTTTCCTTTAAATATTTTAAGGAATAAAAACAAGGGAATTGAATGTCCCAAATGACCATTTCTCCTAGCTTCCCCTTTCCTCTTCCCCTATAAACACTCCTCTGCACTTTTGTCACTGAACATATTCAGATGACTCACTCGAGTGATTGAATTTGGGCCATCTTTAATGACGCTCACACATAAGTTAGGAATATGAAATATTTTACTGTGTATTAGAAAGGGGAATGCTGCCAAAATCTACTACAAAGTCTACAGGGCCTGAGTTCCCTGGGAGCAGAGCTGAATAATTTTTTTTTGGCTTTCTCTCCAGATTCTGAGCCAAGTTCTACCCTTTATGAAATTTCATAGCCAAAGTAACAGAAATCATATTTGTTTGACTAATGCTTTGAAAAGACATGGTGATCAGATATTCCACAGTTTGAACTTTAAAACACAGTTGTTTAGTCATTAAAAATATTTATGAGAAGGTGTTTCCATTATAAAAGCATTTGCATGGCCTATTAAACAAAGTTCGGAAAAAAAAACAGGAAATTTGAAGGAAAAAGAAAATTTAACATCCATAAGCCAATTACCCAGAGACAATCACCATTAACTTTTGTAAATTATTTTTTCTATGCATAGGTTTTGTGTACTTGTGTTTTGTTTGCTTTTAAATAGTTCTATAAGTATGGGGTACTGTTTTTAACAACATTTCCATTTTATTTCACATTCTTTGCAAACATTTTCATAGCCAAAGACTGCATTTCATCAAATCTAAGAAGCCATTGGCTCTAAGTCATATACTTTGTATAGCACTAAGAAAGAAAGAAAAAACTTGCTAACTAGGGTAAAATCCCCTTAGTTGTAAGAAACACCTAAATTTCAGAGATGGTAAAATGTTTTTAAAAATGTTACAAAGATAACCCTTATTTTAGTTTATTTTGTTAAGACAGATTGCCAGAAATAAGAATTACTACTAAATCAGAGGTTGTGAATATTTAAGGGTTCTGGATCCATATTCTAAATTAATGTCCAAGTAATATTCCCACCAGTATGAGCCAGAGGGAATGGAATCAGGGAGATGTACCAAGGGGGTGGCTTCGGTTGTTTTTTGTGTTTTGGCCTGCGTGGTAAATACACAGGAACTTGTTATGCTGTTCTCTATTTCTTCTT